TACCTTTCCAAGCATGATGTCCCTTTCCAAGGAATAACTCTCCTAACAACATGCCCAAAGTATGTGAGATGAAGATTCACCATCCTTGCCTCCAAGGAGCACTCTAGTTGCGCTTCTCCAAGACATAACCGTTTGTTCTCTTGGCAGTCCATGAGATATTCAGTACTGTTCTCTAACAACACAGCTCAAAGGCATCAATTCTTCTTCTGTCATCCTTAGTCAATATCCAGCTCTCTGATGCATAGCAAGAATTGCAAAGACCATGGCCTGGATCAGGTATACCTTAGTCTCCAGACTGACATTGTTCCTCTTCAACATTTTTGAGAGGTCTCTGAGAGCAGCCTTTCCTTCTGAGCATTTGCCTTTGGATTTCTTGACTGCTAGAGCCGAGAGTATTGATTGTGGGACCAAGCTAGCTAAAATTGTTAACAACCTCAATCACTTCTCCATCTGTCATGATGCTGCCAATGAGCCCAGTGGTGAGAATCTTTGTCTTCTTGATTGTTCAATTCATACCAAAGACTGCAGTACTTGACCTTCTGCAGCAAATGCTTCACATCCACATAAATTTCAGCAAGCAAGGTTGTATCATCTGTGTATTGTAGGTTGTTCATGAGTCTTCCTCAAATCCTGATGCCACATTCCTCCTCATAAAGTCCAGCCTTTCAAAGGATCTGTTCCACAAATAGATTAAAAAGGTATAGAGACAAGATGCATCCCTGACTCACGTCTTTCCTGATTTTGAACCTTGTGGTAGTCCCTTGCTCTATTCTGAGGTCAGCTTCCTGATCCAAGTGTAGATTTGTGACCCATACAGTCAAATGTCTTTTCATAGTCAATGAAACACAATAGACATTCCTTTGGTATTCTTTACTTTCAGCCAAGATCCATCTGATGTTGGTGATAATGTCTCTGGTGCAAGGGTGTCTTCTAAATTTGGCCTGTATTTCTGGTAGTTCTCTGTTGATGTACTGTTCCAGTCATTTTTGGATTATCTTCAGCAGGATTTTGCTTGCGTGTGGTATCAGTGATGTTGTTTGATAATTTCGAACTCTGCCGGTTCACTCTTTATTGGAACAGGAATAAATATTGATCTCTTCCAGTCAGTTTGTCAGGTAGTTGTCCTTTAGATTTCTTGGCACAACTTGGTGAGTACATCCAGGACAGCATTTGTCTGTTGAAACCTGTCAACTGATAGTGCATTCCTGGGGCCTTGCTATTTGCCAATTCCTTTGGAGCAACTTGAACTTCCTCCTTCATCACCATTGCCTCTTGATTTTATGCTGTTTTATGAAATTATTCTCTGTCAGCCAATTATTTTTGGTACAGCGGCTTCATATATTACTTCCATCTTCTTTTAATGCTTCCTGGATCATTCAATATCTTTCCCATAGCATCCTTAAGTATTGTAACTTGAGGGTTGAATTTGTTCTTCGGTTCCTTCAGCTTAAGAAATGCTGAGAGGATTCAGCTCTTTTGTTTTTTCTGACTACAGCTCTTTACACTTTTCATTATAATACTTTGCTTTGTCTTCTCAAGCTACCCTTAGAAATCTTCTGTTCAGCTCCTTAACTTCTTAATTTCTTGCCTTGCTTCTAGGCCCTGTAGTGCAATATTTAGTCTCTACTGACATCCATCTTGGTCTTTCTTCCTCCTCTGCCTTTACAATGACCTCTTCCTTTCTTCATTAATTATATTCTTAATATTCTCCCAAAGCTCATCTGATATTTATTCATTAGTGTCCAAGGCCTCAAACCGGTTCCTCAGCTGATTTTTAAATTCAGATTGGTTAGAGGTCAAACTTTGGTTTTTGTGGATTTTATTTTTTTAGCTTCAGTGAATTTGCATGTGAGTAGTTGATCTGATTCCTGCATGTACCATCAAGTGAAGTTCATGTGTATAGTAACCATTTATGTTTCTTATAAAAGGTATTTGCAATGAACAAATCGTTGATTGTACAAAATTCTTTCATTCTATATGCAGCCTCATTTCTGTTATCAAGTTCATGCTTTCCAACTACTGATCCTTCTTCCCTGCATCTATCTGAATGATAGTGGTATTAACCAGACTTGCTCACTCACAACTCTGTGTTTCAGGATAGGTCTAGAAATGACTTTTTAAACTATAAATGTGACCTAATTTTTCCTCATCATTTCATCTCTAGTATAGTAGATCGTGTGATGATTGTCTGACTCAAAATGTCCCATGCCAATCCATCCCATTTTACCAATGCTCCGTATGTCAATATTTATGCATTTCATTTCTTTCTTAACAATGTCTAATTTTCCTACATTTATATTTCTCGCGTTCCATGTTCCAATCACTACTGTCTGCTTACAGCTGTTCCTCCTGGGTTGTGTTTCCCAATAGGAAGGCTCCGCCTTTGGTGACATATCTGTTCATCTACTCTGTTTTGCTCAATTGTGCATCGGATTTTCAAAGGCTTCTTATCTCAGAAGTGGATGACCAATCTGTCTTCCTAGTCTGTCTTAATTTGGATTCTCAGCTTCAGAACAATATCTGATAGACAAGCATATTACCAAAAGGAGAAGATGAAGGACACATTTCTATTACAGAAGTAACAAATATATTCAATATCAGTCCTCCACTTTGGCAAGTGTGTATTTGGTCCCATACTTTCCTCTGGGCTGTACGAGGAGGAATGTGGCATCAGGATTAGTGGAAGAGTCATCAACAACCTGCATTATGCAGATGACACAACCCTGCTTGCTGAAACTGAGGAGGACCTGAAGCGCTTGCTGCAGAAAGTCAAGGACTACAACCTCCTATATGGATTGAAGCTCAACATCAAGAAAACAAAGATTCTCACCACTGGGCTAATTGGCAGCATCAGTATGGATGGTGGAGAGGTTGAGATAGTTAACAGTTTTAGTTTACTTGGTTCCACAGTAAACACTCTTGGTAACAGCAGCCAGGAAATCAGGAGACAAATTGCCTTGGGAAAGTCAGCTATGAGGGACCTCTCAAGAGTACTGAAGAGCAATGACATCAGGCTGGAGACTAAGTTGTGGCTTATCCAGGCTAGTCTTCGCAATTATGTGCTATGCATCGGAGAGTTTGACAGTGAATAGGGATGATAGAAAGAGAATTGATACTTTTGAGCTGTGGTACTGGAGAAGAGTGTTGAATATACCATGGACTGCTAGGAGAACAAACATTTTTGTCCCGGAGAGGATGAAGCCGGAATGCTCCTTGGAGTCAAGGATTCTGAAGCTTTGTCTGACATACTTTGGGCATGTTGCAAGGAGGGACTGGTCCTTGGAGAGGGACATCATGTTTGGGAGAGTGGAGGGACAGGACAGGAGAGAAAGACCCTTGGTGAGATGGATCAATTCTGTGGTTGGGGTGGTAGGAATGAGTGTGTTTGAGATGGCGAGGTTGGCACAGGATAGAGCGGCTTTTAGGGCTCTTGTAAATAGGGTCTCTCTGAGCCGCAAGCGACTCAATGGCACATAACAACAACCTTCCCTGCACCCCTTACCCCTTGCTTTGACCAGCCAACACGTCCCTCCCCCCCAGCCAACCCTTGATATGATAGTCCAGGCCTTGAGTCAATTCCACGATGTCTCATGCCTTGCCCTGCTGCTGGTCTTCCAGAGACTGCCAAAGTAACAAACAGATATTTTGGAGAAAGTGCTATTTCATCTTGCATACTTTAGGCATGTTGTTAGTTCTTTGAGCACAGTCCTTGGAAAAACTATAATCATGTTTGGTGGAGAGTCAGCAAAAGAACAGGAGACTCTTGATGAGATGGATTGACCCAGTGACTGTATCAGTGTCCTCAAGTATGTCAGAAGGATGCCACAGGACAGGACAAAGTGTGATTTGAAGTCGATTCAATGGCACTTAACAACAACTCACTTACCAGAATTGGCTCAAACACCCAAGAAAGATGGATCACTATGTTTGGTTTGATGACTGAGTTGTGCCAGGACTGGGGATGTGAAGATGGCTTTTATAATTCTCCAGCCTGGAGCCCCATCCCCCAGAGACTGATTCTATAGGTCTGGGTATCGCTGTTTTCCAGAAGATCTAGGCTGAGAGACTAGTTGAGCTGTTGTTGGGCGTATGGATATGGGGAGTTAATGTCAGTCAGTATTCACAAAGCAAAACCTGCTGCTGCCGAGTCAGTCCCATTGCAGCAACGCTGTAGGACAGAGTAGAACTGCTCCGTGGGGTTTCCAAGCTCTGGTTGTGTAGTCTGTAGTGTTTTGTACTGCCAACCCAAAGGCCTCACATTGCTAGCAGTTTGAATTTACCAAGTTTCCACTGGAGAGAGATAGATAGTCCCCTCCTATTAAGACTGACAGCCTCACAAACTCAAGGGAGGATTGCTATGAGTAGGAATCGACTTGAAGTCTGTGAATTTAGTTTGAGTTTTAAAATCTTTGTCCTTCAGAGGGGCTAGTACCAACCTTTTGCTAAAAGGCCACTTACCGACTGCACCATCTCAAGTCCTTGCAAAGTCCACTACCACTTTTGTTGTTGTTGTTAGGTGCCATAGATTCGAGTGAGTCATAGTGACCCTATGAACAACAGATCTGAACCCTGTTTGACCCTGTGCCGTCCTCACACTTCCTGACACATTAGAGCCCATTGCCGCAGTCACCATGTCAGTCACCTGGTAAAGGATCTTCCTCTCTCTCGCCGACCCTCCACCCTTCCGAGTATCATGTTCCTCTCTAAGGAACAGCCCCTCCTAGTGACACGCCTAAAGTATGTTCATCATCCTTGCCTCCAAAGAACACTCCGGTTACATCCTCTCCAAGACATATCTGTTTGTTCTCTTGGCCGTCCATGGGATGTTCAGGATTCTTCTCCAACACCACAGCCCAAAGACGTCATTTCTTTTTCTGTCATCTTTGTTAATTGTCCAGCTCTCAGATGAAAAACAAGTGATTGTGAAGACCATGGCCTGGATCTACCACATAGATATTTAAAACTTGCCCTAAAATGTCTAAAAATTTCCTTTCACACAGATACTATGAGTATATTTTCGGTTTCCACAAGCAGTACCAAAGCCAAGTTAGATTTCAGCCTGGAAGAGAGTTACAGCAACTTCTTGTCACTGTTGTCCTCGACTCGGAATGCAACTCTTTCCCCAACAACGCTTCAGATGAGTCATGTGAGTACCTGTGTAATGAATGTGCATTCTATTCAAAGCTGATTATCACAGACTTGCATGCCGGCAACAGTTTCTAGGCCATGAAGGTTTTGGTCAGTGAGTTTCTTATTCCTGTTTTTAAATTAGGGAGCTCTGGTGGCCTAGTGGTTAGGGAGATATGCTGCCAACCCAAAAGGAAAGGGGTTTGAACCCACGAGCTGCTCTGAGGGATAAAGATGGGCAATCTTATAGCCTCTAAACTTAGTTGAAGGTCAGCTGTGGGTTGCTTATGACTGGCTGGTACATAACATAACATAACATAACATAACATAACATAACATAACATAACAACATAACAACATAACATAACATAACAACATCATAGAACATAAACATAACATAACAGCATAACACACATAATATTAGACTGAGGTAATTCTGCAATGTGATTTTTGTATTGTGCTTTATTCCAAACAGCAAAACATTACAAACATTTCTGTATTTCACTGCTCTCTGATATCACTTTTAATTGCTGAGTAATGTTTTAGCACCATATGAATGTGCCTTAATGGCTAATCCCTTACTTTTGAGCATCTAAATGATCTCTCAACAACTGTCACCTTTGAAGACATCTATGCTTCTATCCATGACCTACATTTAGAATGAACTGAATTTTTTTAATATATTTTAATTTATTTGTTTTTCAATGAACATCTACAGAGATTTTGGAATTCCATTCATTCATTGTTGCGCCCTTCT